TTAATGTGGAGCTGCTGCAAGGTTTGTGGCAACGAAACACAGGTCTTTCCCATGTCCGAAAGCACCTGGAAGTATTCATTCGGGAAGTATTTGGAGCTTTCATTCTGGAACAAGAATTTGCATGCCCGAGCGGGCGTTTGCCCTCACGACTTACAGCGAGATCATCTCCGTTTCTTTGGTTTCAAGGATATTGCCATCCGCATTCACTACGATACCATTAATTTGCTTGAAATCATTGTTCCTCGAACTCGAGTTACCTGGAAAGTGGACAATGACCTCAAACTCAGGAACGAGATCTATCAAAGAATGGAACAACGCATCGGTAGATTCATGACCTCGGTAAAGGCTAGGTTGAAGGGCATCAACGTCGAAAGCGTGATTCCAAAATTGGCGGAAGACTGCAAGAAGGAGATTGAGAACCTGAACCGGAAGGCAAATGAGGATAGCGTCATGATTGTCAAGCAGCTCCAAGAGAAGTACACCAATTCCCAGTATTGGGAGGTCATACCTTTGAACGAAGTCCTCCGAGCGGTCCAGGAAAAGGTTGTTGAATGGGACACTGCTTTCGCTGAATTCGAGAAGAATTTCTTCCCTTCGGAGAAAGATATCCGACGTCTAGCAACTTTACAACTCAAGAAAATATTCTTGGACAGGGATGCTACTTCCATATCCTCCAACGAAGAGCCTCCAACAACCCCAACCGAAATTGAATGCGGACAAAGTCTCGAATCAGAAAAGATCCGTCAAGCACGTCGCATGACCCTTTCCCCCGAAAAGGCTCAGGACGTTCTCGTTTCGGTTGTCGAGGAACACTCGAACAGAAAGGATGTAGCTCACAGCCAGGGAAGTGAGTTGAGCAGAGAGGATATCGACTCCTCGGCCATCTCAACTAGCCCCGTAAGCTCACGTTTCTCTCCTCCCCAGGCCGAGCTCGCGGCAGAGAAGGAGGTCCAACACCTCGATCTCGCAACGCCATTGGCTCAGCCTGAACATTCAGTCTTAATGCCTTCTGTGGCAAGCTCATTAGAGACGGTGGAGACCCATCTGCCTATGGTCATTCCCACAGCACCAGATGCGAAACCCACGGAGACTCCATCTCCTGATGAATCAAATACTCACACAAGGAAGAAAAGCGAAGACGTGACCAAAGTCACTCCTCCGAGCCGTTTGCCGTCGGCAATTCCACGACCGGCTGAAGGTCTCCTTCGGCGTAGTGGGAAGTCAGCTTCTCCGCCTTTGTTCCGCTCTCAAACACAACCAGTTCAGCCGCAAAAAGAACTAGCGTACGACGGCGTTCCTATGAGGGGCATGAAGCTTGCGCTGGGAAAGTTGAACCCGCTAGATGGGACGCCCAGTCCTCCCTTGGACTCCAAGTTTAAGCCCGGAGACAAGAAATTGTTTGGCTTTAATGCCATGCGGAACGGTAGGATGACACCCGGGCCATCTTTCATTCCACGCTCGATTCCCAATCGGAGAAACTCGCGGGTCTCAAACCTGGCGAGGCATTTCGAGCAACTGAGCCGAGAGTTCGAAAAGGAACGTCAACGCGAAAGAGCCCAGCGCGCCGCTAAAGGGGCGCATTCCCGGGCTTTCCCTCTAGCCTCCTCCAAGCCCATCGTGGAGGTGTATAAGAACGTCAAGGAAGCAGTAGAGGAGCGAGAGCCATCTGGCGAAGGAGACGAGCTTTTGTCGCGCATTCCTCTGGACCAGTCAAGCAGAAACAGTGAAGACATACTCGGGAAGGAAATGGAAGATGGCAGGAAAGACTCTATTTCTCAGGAGCTTCCTGATACAAAACCAGGCATCGAGGATGGTACTCATGAGGAGCACAACTTGTCAGACGGTGAAGCAGATGCGCACAGTGATGAAGATAGAGCATCTACCGATGATCTGCAGCGGACCGATTCGAATGAAGAGATAAAGGGATCTCCTGAAGATGAGCAAATGGACCTCAAGGAGTTCCCGAAACATGAAAGAAGCACACTCTTGAAGATGCTGACGAACTTCTGGTCCGAGCGGTCTGCCAGTGGTTGGACTCCGCTCGACTACCCACTCACCATGTCCGACCACGTCTTCGCTGATTGTGACATTATCGTTCGTGAGGATGAACCAAGCTCACTGATAGCGTTCGCGCTAGATTCGTCCGATTACAAGGAGAAGCTCACGGCCATTCAGCGGCGCTTTGAGGAACCGGAGGAGAAAGTCGCAAGCCCAGACCAGGGCACAGAGGCCTTTGAAGAAACCCGGGTGGAACACGCCCTGCTGCGGTCTACCGGCACGCATCTCAAGTACCAATTCCAAGAAGGCCAGGCTAAGATGCTTTGTAAGATCTTCTACGCCGAACAGTTCGACGCGCTACGAAGAAAGTGCGGTGTCGCGGAGCGGATCGTGGAGTCCCTCTCCCGTTGCGCGAAATGGGACTCGAAAGGAGGCAAGACGAAGTCCTTGTTCCTGAAGACCCTTGATGACCGCTTCATCCTTAAGTCATTGTCGCCCATTGAAACCCAGGCGTTCTTGAAGTTCGCCCCTGCATACTTCCAGATCATGTCTGAGGCTCTGTTCCACGAATTGCCCTCCGCAATCGCCAAGATGTTCGGATTCTACCAGGTGATCATCAAGAACCCTGCCACGGGGACGGAGTTCAATTGGTTTTTACTGTTGATGGAGAACCTGTTCTACGACCGAGTCCCTACGCGGATCTTCGACCTCAAGGGCTCGATGAGGAACCGCAAGGTGCAAAGCACCGGAGAACGCAACGAGGTGCTTCTCGACGAGAACATGGTCGACTTCATCTATGAAACGCCGCTGTTTGTCCGGGAGCATTCAAAGAAGCTGCTCAGCCAAAGTGTCTGGAACGACACCCTCTTCTTGGGTCGTCAAAATGTGATGGATTACTCTCTCATGATCGCCATCGACGAGAATCGGTCGGAACTGGTTGTCGGAGTCATCGATTGCATTCGAACCTACACGTGGGACAAAAAGCTGGAGTCCTGGATCAAGGATCGTGGCTTTGCCGGCGGTGGCAAGAACCGACCTACTGTCACCAGTCCGAAGGAGTATAAGAGTCGCTTCAGGGAGGCGATGGCCCGCTATGTACTCCAAGCACCGAGGTAGGTCACTGTTTGCCGGAATCATGCTCGTGGGACGGCGCTAACTGCTTAGTAGTTGCTGGCACCAATTCCAACAACCCCAAGCCTTCAGATACGCTCCGGTCGAGCACTACCCAAACCCGGCCAGTCACTCAGTCATCGACGGTGAGACCGCTGACGAAACGCCGCACTGAGCCATTCTGCCAGCGTCCTAAGAATGGAAACACTTATCTAATTGCGCATCATATCTTTATGAACAATACAACCAGCATGCATACATAACTGACACGACGATACGACACGAAGTGATGTATAAAAGAATCGACGTTCCTTCCTCGTTACTTATTGCGTTTTTTCGCATTGACCTACGTTTTGAATTTGCTATGATATGTGAGCGACTGAGCATGGAACACACGAAGCGGCTTTGTTTGCATTTACATATACACCGAGCTTTCCCCAAGCGGGCGACTTACTTGGTCCCTCTCCTTAATGTAATTAAATGAAACTTGATAGATTAGCCAGCGACCAGCTTGAGCATCATCATGATCATTGAACGAGACACTACTATCTACCATATGAGTCATTGATATAGAATACTAACTCTATGTACTGTATACACTTCATAGCTTTGGACAAAGAAGAATACCTTCACCGGTGAGTCAGTAGTAGTAAGTAGTAGTCGAGTCCCTCCAACCAACCGGGCACCGGGCCGGGCCAGCAAACGTACCTACAGTGTAAGTGACTTAACTTCCGTTCTCCCGACTCCTGGCGAAACTGGCTCAGGCTCCTTTTACCGGCCGATCCCGGGAAAACCCGGGTTGCCTCCACGCGGGAATTTGATTTGCCCTCCACCACAGTCACACCCACATGCATGAGGAACTTTTCCTTTTCCTTCTGTCTGGCGCATTCACTCGCATTTCACTTTCTGAAATCCTTCAGGTTGTTTCTCTTGCCTCTTCTTGCTGCTGAATGAAGTTCCTGGTGTGGATGTGTGCTTGCATGCGGGCGGCCCATACCACCACCACCAGCAGCCGCAGCATATGCATACGCATAGTAACCACATCCCGCATGTTTCCATGCGAGAATGGACAGCTGAGAATTAATGGGAGGGAAAACTGACCTCGGTCGTTCGGGGTAATCGGTTTTCCATCACATCCATGAACCCCCCTCCTTCCTTCCTCCCTTCTCTCTTCTGCTCCCCCGCAGGTCATCTTTCTTTTCTGACATTTCTTCTCTTAAATTGCAACTGCTACCCTCAGGCAGCGTTTTCACGTTTCGCACTCTTGGCGAGCGTGCTTGCTCTCCCTTGTTGAATACTAACCTAGAGCCAGGTTGGATACAAAACCAGCTTGGATACTAACATACACACACAGCTCGATCGACTACAAGGGAATGATGGGAAAGAGGAATGCATCATACTGAAGCAAATCAATTATTGACATGTGCAAGAAGGAACTAACTCATTAATTCTAGCTTTTTGGGAATCAGCAGCATCTGGGGCAAAGCGAGAAAATCCCACCCGAAGATGAACTGGCTAAGATTTCGATTTGGTCAAGAGAGATGGCAGGCAGATTACAACTGATACCTCCAGTCTGGTTTCCCACTCCACTGCGTGCGGGTCGGGGAGCAAAAGAAGAATAGACGTCTAGCAAAAACCGACATGCACTCCAGGTGCGGCTCGGTCATACCTTGCCCCGACTCATGAAACGAACCCCGACCCAGTGGACACTCGCGGTCGAGGGTCCACTACTCGGGGTCTTCCGTCGTCCGTCATCGTCGCGTTTGAAAATGAGAGAAGACCATGTGCTACGATATATCCAGAGGCACAACATCCTTGGCGCGTTAATATCCAATCGTTGTCGTTCATCGCATCATCCACCGGTCGAATGCCGGTATCCTGGGGTCGAGAATTTACTCAGACAGGCCAAGGTTCTCCTCAGCAGGGACCACACGGACGGTGTTGGTGTGGCCCTGGCCACCGCGCCAGCCCTGGACACAGACGATGTTGTCGCCCTTGTTGATGATGCCGAGCTTGAGACCGTGGTTGATACCCCACTTGAGACGGCGGTCAACATCCTCCTGCCAGATCTTGACGTTGAAGTCGGGCTTCTTCTCGGGGAAGAGGAAGGGCCAGACACCACGGTACAGGTGGGAGTACCGGGAAGCCTTGGCGTTGCGGGAGACCATGATGATGGGGCAGACGGGGCGGTACTTGGAGACATAACGAGCGGTTTGGCCGCTACATCGCATGTCAGCATATCATTCGATCCGACAGAAGCGTGACACTTACCTAGTGGTCAGGACCACGATGGCACCAGCGTTGAGTTCCAGACTGGCGCTGACGGCGGCCATGGCGATGGACTCAACAGTGTCGGTGGGGCGGGGAGCAAGGTTACGGAGCTCATCGAAGACGTTGAAGTGGGGGATGGCAACCTCGGCGAGCAAGCAGGTCTCGGACATCATCTTGACGGCCTCGGAGGGGTAGGAGCCCTTGGCGGTCTCACCGGACAACATGACACAGTCGGCACCGTCGAGAACGGCGTTGGCAACGTCGGACACCTCAGCACGAGTGGGGCGGGGGTTGTAGGTCATGGACTCGAGCATCTGGGTGGCGCAGATGACGGGCTTACCCTTGATGTTACACTTGGCGATCATCATCTTCTGGGCGATGAAGACCTTGGGGGCGGGGATCTCGATACCAAGATCACCACGGGCAACCATGACACCGTCGGTCTCCTCAAGAATCTCATCGAAGTTGTTGACACCCTGCTGGTTCTCAATCTTGGCAATGATCTGGATCTCCTTGCCCTCCTCGCCGAGGACCTCACGGATCTGACGGATGTCGCTGCCGCGGCGGATGAAGGAAGCGAAGACCATGTCGACGTCGTTCTTGACACCGAACTTCAAGTCGGCAATATCCTTCTCGGACAGAGCGGGAAGGTCGACATCAGTACCGGGCAAGTTGACACCCTTGCGGGAGGAGATGTTGCCGTTGTTCAAGCACTTGACGCGCAGGGTCTTGTCATCGACGACCTCCAGAACCTCGAAGGACAGGATACCATCATCGACGTAGATGAGCTTGCCGGGAGCAATCACCTTGGTGATGTTCTTGTAGTCAAGGTACCTACAAGGATGTCGATCAGTCTTCGTCGACTCGAGTGCGCCCAGCGGAGTGACTTACATGTTCTTGTCATCACTGGCAGTAGCATATTGCTCATCAGTGGTGATGTTCAGCTCGTGGCCAGCCTTGATGGGGATATCGGCGTCGCCGACGGTGTTTCCGGTACGGATCTCAGGTCCTTTCTACGGTCGGGTCAGATGCGTTGTTCGTGACGCCTGGTTAGAAGCACTTACGGTATCAAGAGCAATAGCCAGAGGACGGCCCTCCTGGGTGCGAGCAGCCTCGCGGGCGTTGTCGATGACGGATTGGTGGTACTGTCGAAATCAGCATCAGGACGGAGCGGTGGCTTCAGGCCGACTACTCACCTCGTAGGAACCGTGGGAGAAGTTCATGCGGACGACGTTCAGACCAGCTGGATTACAGGTTAATTCCCAGAAGCTCCCCGAGTCGGATACTGTTTAACGTACCTCTGCGGAGCATGTTAATCTTCTCGGCGGAGTTGGTCTTGGGACCTAGAAGCGGGGCAATGTCAGTTACAGACGAAATCATGGTCGCTGAAGCTCTACTGCAAGACAATCAATGCAGAGCGCCTGGAGGATGAGCGTACCGATGGTTCCGATGATGGAGGTGCGGCGGAAGTTCTTGGAGGGGACCATCTCCGTGTTGAGCTTGGAGTGCCACTCCAGCTTCATACGGTTGCTCAGATGGTCGAGAGAGGAACTGGCGGCCATTTTGGATAAGGTAGGTATCTGTACTGAACCGGATGGAAAAGTATCAGAAGAGGTGAGTGAAATTGGAGAGAGGAGGAGAGGTTTGGACAGAAAGGAAGAGAGGAAGAGGAGGAGGAGGAGGAGGAAGAGAAGAAGAAGAGAGAGAGTGGGGTGGGGGGTGGGAGGAAAGATAGGAAAGAAAAGATGAACAGCGGCGGATCCGGTGAGTGAGCGACCGACTAGAGCAAGTCGAGAGGGGTGTGGGTGAGTGGGTGAGTGGTCCGTTCTTCGGTCTGGAAAAATGTTGGCAGCCGTTTTTTCCAGGTTGCTCTGCTCCCCCTTTGAGCTTCTCGGTCGGTTTCCCCACGGGTACGGAGTAGCTGGCCTTCGTTTCTACGTAACTGAACTCATTGCTATTATTAATGGCTGGTCGTTCAAGGCAACTTGGACTTATCTACTCTATACCTCACCAGAAACCATCCCAATAACTAGGAGGATCATCCTCTGCTTAACCAGCATCCCGAGTCCCTCAGTCCAGTCTGCCAGCTACCGTGTACATCTCCGTCCAGTACTAGATAATTCTGTATGGAAACCCCGCCGCCAACCGGAGCGGAATCCTCAGGCACACCTCCCTGGCAACTCTCCCAATTCGGTTCCATGTTGAGGATGATCCATGATCCATGAGGTTTCACCCTATCAACTCCATCGTAGCCTCCTAGTCTACTACCAGCCATTGTCTCTTGGTGCTTTCCGTCCAGAACCAGCTTGCCCCGATGGATCAAGGACCACATGACAAAACCACTGGAGGAGACTCCCTCCCCCACCATGCCCATCACTTCGATCAATCAGGGGCCGCAGAGGACGAATCTCCCATCTTTTTGCTGGGCACATGGAGCCGAAGTGGATGAGACCAGCCCGTAGGGCTGAACAATATCCCTCAGCACTGTACAAAGACAATCAGCCCAGTTTTGAAACATGGCGAGTATGCAAACCGATTTCGTGTGTGTGACTCTCCTTCCGGGAACTGCTGATCGGAGACCTCCGTCACTCTCACACACACACTCGGGCGGCCAAGAGCAGTATCAGTAGACGTCTCTCTTTACGCAAGCCAACCATGCACATCCGATCATCACTACCTCACATTCCATCATACGGGAGTCTATCTGTATGGTGTATAGCGAGCTGTACGTACTTCGGACCTCAGCATCATTTATTTTCTTCCATCTCCGATTGGCCAGACTGAACCTCGCCAACCAGGCATCTCCGATGTCTTCACTGCAAGGTTGATAGCAAGCTGGAGCTCAGCCCAGGCTCGGTTGCCGACTCGGGACTCCCGGTGAACCTGCCCTGCCATTCAAACCACCTCTGTTGCCTCAGAGACCAGGCCGCAACTGGCCCTCCGCGGCGGCCCGCACTTGGCTTTCTCCGTCTAAGCCCCGGTGCGCGGAGTTTCTGGCCTGCCCGGCACGCACGGCAGTTACTCCGGTCCACCCAGGTGGTTTGTTGTTTCCGTTGGGTGTTGGTGCCTTGGGGTTTGAAAGGGCGTGTGCTTTGGCGTTTTGCTTTCTGCTGCGGTACATTACTTATATCACACTGTAGGAGTCTTGGTGTTTGATCCGGGTATTCGTGGCCTGTTACTTGATGTGTAGTGTTTCAATGAGATGATGCCATGGATCCCTCATGGGTTGTATTGCGTTCGTCAGGCTCTATGATAGTCGTTGCATATCGGGTTCAACGCAAACCCCGAGGTCCTCAATTGCGGATCGCAGACTACTTACTCATCAAGTATGTCTTTCGTTCAGAGCACTATCTTCGGCGGCAGTTGCTACCTAGAGTAGTTATACTAAGCTGTGTTCCTCGACCTCGACATAATCGATATAGTGCATAAGTGCTGGTTCTTCAGCTCTCTGCCCCAGGTGATGCGACAAGAGATACTGTTGTACTCTACATACTATTATCTGCAAGACTCCTGCAGCGTGCATCCAGCACCATACCCATTTCCTCAATCAAAAGCAGTTCCAAGCGGGGATAAACTCCACAGTGTGAATGGACAATGACTCGCCTCTTGAGTTCAGATCTCAGATCTCACACATCAAAAGATCCCCCCTTCCAAAGAGACACCAACAACCCCGGCACAGCCACAAACAAGCCACCCAGCCACCCCACGTGAACCTTGAACCCAGCCACCCACCCCCAGCCCCGTCTCCCTCCTCAGGGCTCCCTCACCGCCTTTCCACAATTCTCACAGGTGCCTAAAACACTGGCACTGCAGTCCACGTCATGTGCCCGCGAAGCACGTGAACCCCTTCCCGCAGGCAGGCGGGCGGGCGGGCTTTCTCCTCCCTCCATCGTTCCCAACTCCAGCTCCTCACGTCTCCGCTCCGAACCAGCTATCGGCAGCGCTTCGCTCTAACAAATAAGTCTGAAAAGAAGGCTTGCTTGAGAAACGTGAGGTTCCTGGGTTCTGTTACTTGTCAGGTTAGAGAGAAAGTGTGTGTGTGTCAAGCTAACCGGCGCAAATATCCAGTGTCTTCCCCTCTTCTCCTCCCCCGGCTTGTCAACTATCGATTGTCGATCTTCTTGATCTCTACTTCGATCGTACCATACCACGCGCGCACGCACGCAGAATTCAAGATGGTGGGTTTTTGCTGCCGTTTTTCACCAAGAATAGGAAACTGGGGGGATAGCATACGCGAACCGGGGAGAGAAGTGTACTGATTTCTGACCGGTGGGTCGGGCTACTAGTTGGGTCGTCTCAGTCATTACGCTTTTGATGCGGTGCTTAGTACGTTTCTTTCCGTTCCTTTCTCTCATCGTGCTGCCCCAGGCAGGAGGCAGAAGTTTGGATCAGCCCTCAAACAAAACATGCTAACCCGACTTCGCTTCTACCAGTCTCCGCCTTTCTGGCCGGTATCAAGCGGTCGACTGGATTAACGTAATAACCCCCTCTTACTTTCCGCGCAGGTGCAGTTCGCGCACCTCTCAACCTCGGATAGTTGAGGCTGGGTTACTTTCAACCTCGTACATCAAGCTAACTCCCATTCCTCACGCCTGCCCCTGTCCCGGGTTGTGCGTGGGGTCCTTCACAGCCCCAGTCTCGAAACCGACAAAATCACCGATAACAAGGATTTCAAGCAGTGGATCGACAAATACCTCGGCGTGGGCGAGTGGGTGATGGACCAGTCCGTTGCCGTCCTCGGGTCGACCAGCTGGTTTGAGCGGAGACGGTAAAGGTTGATCGTCGTCGGCGGCTGAGTCGGCTGCCCCTCTTTCTTTCCTCTGTTTCGGCCTAGATGAAGTGGCAGGGTCGGTGAACTTGGAACGGAACTTCGATGTCGAAATCGGTTGCAGCGCCCCTTTACACGCCTGTTTCGGTTATGGTCGGCAGGATAGAGGAAAGAACTCCCCCTCTTCTTGCCCGTCAAGCCCGGGTGATCCTCCACGCGTCCGGGTCGGTTTCTTATATGCATGGTGATCGTACGGCGGGGATGCCGCTCGGTTGATGTTGCAACAGCAAAGCTTGGCGTTAGGAATATCCTTCATTATTTGTGCACCTTGAGTCGTCTCTTCACTCATGTACTTGACACTGGCGCTCTCCTCGATACAAGCAATGTACATAAACTCATGTCGATAGCAAACAGTTATCGTACCACGCCTGGTTTATCCACAACAACCGATGCATATCTCGACTACAGTCTTCCTTCGCAGTGTGGCTGGGCTGTGAATGCAAGCGATATCACTGAGACTTGAGCCCCCATCCCAAGAGCCAATGGCTGCACTGCCATAAAAGGGTCGGTTACTCTACCACGGTGCTCAGCTCTGGCCCACATCCGTTATTGAAGCGGCAACGTGCTTCAATGTAAGACACCAAAGCAATGTGATTGGGTAGGTATCAGGATTGGAGCGGAGTAGATAAATGACATGATGCGCCCATACGTAATGTTTCGGACAACTCGGCCTCACGTTTGGAGTAGTGCATCAACATCAAGTCGGCGGTAGTAAGAGATGTGGCCCATGGTTTCCCAATAGTGAGCCACACAGTCCGTTGAAAGCAGGATCAACTGGGACGAGATGAACGTGTCTGGAAACTCGGGTCAGAGTAGACAAACACTTGATTAGATACGATAGTTCTTACCATCACGGAAGCCAAGGCCTGCCACATGGCCTTGGCTGCGCACAATTCTTGCCCCTTGGAAAAGGCCTTCGTCAGCGATCCGCACCAGACCGCCAGGGCCGATGTCATCAGCTGCAAAGGAGATCTCCCCTCGTGGTACGTTTGGGTCCCCTGTCAGCTTGATAGCCTCGAGGCTCCCCTGTAGCGTCGCTTCGCCGTCAGTCGGCTCGGCCGCCGCGAGCGATCCATCGCGGTCGCGTTGCAGAACAAGCAGAAATTCGCAGCCGTGCGCCGAATAATCGCCAACCCAAATGCCTTGGTATGGCTTGCGCGGTGTTGGTGTGTACACTTCCGGGTCGAGCGTGGCAAATGTCGAAAGGGTCTCATTCCGACCTGCGGCGAAGATGGGAATTCCCAGACGAAAATGCGCCCATCTTCGGATTCGGAAACCATACTCGGACATCTCCTCCAGCTGTCGAGGATTGCGCTCCCACTCTGGTAGCTGCTGCTCGACATCACGATAGACTCGATGATTGCTCGGAATGGTCGGTGGTGGCCACTGCTGACTGCCATCGAGGTCTGGAGGCAGATATTTCGAGCAGGGTGAAAAGGCATTGAAGACATGCTGCATCTCAAGAGCCATCGGCATGCGAATCTCTCCCTGTAGATAGCGTGGCCGCCCCTCGCGCTGGGGTTTCAACAAAAGGACGGGGTCGTCCAACCATAGACTGACCCTCGGATCAAAGCTTTGTATGATGACATCTGGGTTCCAGTCCCATATTTGGAACTGGTGAGAGCGTCGCTCTGCGATGACCCGGTAGGCCTCGATCACCCCGCGTCGATGATCATACCGCGCCAGAATCAGATTTCCTGTATGTTCTGTGTCGGAGAACCAGATTTTATGCTTAGGAATAAACCAGCAGGGATGATGGGCAATGTAGAGGCTACGGAAGGAGTCGAAAAGGCCAGGGTCATGGATAGGCTCGGGTAAGTAAGAGTTGATCAGGTTCAACCACAGTAGCTCGTTATCGACGTGATCAGCGAGAGAGCGACAGGTAACGGCTACACGAGCAAGCTCTTGGGCTGACAGATACGCCAGAATCTGCTGGACGAGTTCTGGGGGGAGCTTTAGGATGGAACTTTCCATGATGTCTTCAGTCTCGGAGGTAAGGTCGGCTATGGAGGACTGGAGCCCGTCTTTCTGCTCGGTTGAAGTCTGTGGTGGTTCGCCCAAAGCAGCCTGGCTCGAATACCAACTGGCTGACGCAGTGGCCATCGCAGTGGCTTGGGCGTGGAGAAAGACTATGAAGCGTGTGGCGAGGGGACAGCCAACTTCAGAGATGACAGCTCGCAGAGGGTGCCGAGGAGGAAAAGGAGATATCTAGACAAAGACGATCTGCATGTTTTAAGTTAGTGTTAGTTAGGGATTGTTGCTTCTTCGACGGGCGAGGGGAGAGAGCCAGATCGCATGACATCACCCGCAGCAGGCCCGCATCACCTCATCATCCACGCAGCAGAGACCGTGCAACGCTGTTACCAGGACATTTGAGTCAAGAGAAGTAAGGGAGCTCGATCAATTGATAGCGTGCAGGGTCTCGCATGGAAACGAACCCAAAGTTCGGGATGAAGTTGGGGCACGACGGTCATTTACTCTGGTCAGAGGGAGAGGGATGCGCAGAGCCAAATTTCGTTCCCTGGGAGCGATAAGATAGCAGCTACCGCCACTGCAGCGGTAGAGTGTGTAATCTGACAGGGGGAGGAGGCCTTTGTCCTCAGGCTCCAGACTGATAAGTGCCCGACCTATGGGGTTCCATGTTCCGTATGAGTGGTTGATCCACTGCAACCATCCATCAATGGATCTGAGCTGATGACGCAGAAGTGATAGGTAACTTGTACACACACAGAGAGAACTGCCTCAACCGCCAGGCACGACGGCAGTCACCTGATGCGCGCAAGGCACGGGAGGGCTCCAGGCTCCAGGCTCCAGGCTAAGCCCAGCTCGGGATGTTGTTTACGCTTTCCCAATCGAGACATGGCCCGGGGTCCATCACGCGTAAGGAAGGCACGCACTCGCACTCGCCCTCGGCACGATCGACCCCTTGCCTAATGTAGCAAAATCATATCAAAATATCCAAATATACTTTGTCCCCGGTTGCCTCCAGGTTGCGGTTCCATGCTTTGTCGCGCTCTGTTGCCTTCGTTGTTCGGTAATATATCACCTTTTATGCACTCAACTGCACCACTGCACTTTCGTGTGGATTGCAACACGTTTCTATTATTATTTTCTCCTGGTGAAATCCACTGATAGATAGATACTATTCTCACTGATCTTCCATTGTTGTACGACCTAAGCGCGTTCTGTACCCCGCCGGGCCAATACGCAATGGTCGTTGAGACAAGACAGCAGTCCGGGCGCAAACGCCGAGTTAGTTCTGTCTCCGGTCCAGAGCCTCAATCATCAGCTTCCATTCAACAAACGATTCGTCAGTTCAATAGCTCTCATGCCACAGCTACTCCTTCCAAGAGTCGGCGACAGCCGAGGAAGAAGGTCCGCTTCTCCGATCCAGGCCCTCAGCTACACGACGGGTCGGACTATGGAACTGGACTCACCCCCGCCATGCTACGCACCTCCTTTGAAGAACGGGCGGATATAGATCCTTTGACTAGCTCCCCAAGTCGCCGCTCGCGACGCCATTCCACGCCACTCCGGAAGACCCGCCTGCAGTCGAACTCCCCGGCATCCTCTTCGTCAGCAGGCGTGGAACAGGTGTTCCAATTTACGCCACTTCGACAGCTTCTGGACTCGCGAACCCAACGAAGAATCCGACGAGTAGGGTTAAGTGATGAGATTAACCAATTGGAGCGCGAGAAGAGGGACGCAGCACGTTATGAGCGGACCTTGCAGACATTGCTGCAGGAACGTGACTCTTTGAAGCAAGAGCTGGATGCGGTCAAGCAAATCGAGCACCTGCCGAGATGTGCATCGCTAGAACCGGCCGACGGTCCCTCATGCGACGCCCCTCGGTCACTAGCCGAGCGTCTGGAGTCTGAGAATCATCGATTAAGACAGGAGCTATCTTTCTCCAGGGGTGATCTCATAGACAGCTCCAGTGTGGCCAACACCGAGAACGACACAATCATTGTTAATGAAAGCGAATTTGACGGAGAGACGATGCTTATCTCGAACTCACCTGATCTCAGATCTCTATGGAAAAATCAACGCTTTGATATGGATGATTGTGAGCTTTTGCGAAGAGGGGGCCCAAATGCGGATGCGGAAACCCAATTTTCCCTTCCTGGCCATGACTCTGAGGCAGAAATCAATGCCCTTTTTGCAGACCTGGAAACTGCTAGGAGAGAGAAACGCGCCCTCTTCGAAGCATGCCGCTTTCGCATTGCGTCCTTTGGTGGAACCAAGCTGGAGCCTCATCTTCATCGAGCGTCCCCACCGCCAGACTTCGTAGATCAACTGATACCAAGTCTGGCGGAGACCCTTGGTCGAGCTTCGGATGCCACGCAGTCACTAAATTCTATCAAAGAGGAGTTGTCAGAAATGGGATTTCCCGGAGTACACGCCGAAGAGATCATTGCGGACATGCGCGATCAGTTTCGCTCCGCACGCTTGCGTCTTGAACGAGCGGTTCCTGGTGAGACACCGAATACAGGCTTGAATGACGGCTGCGCGACTCTTAGTGCTTTGGTCAAAAGAATTGAGATCCTGATCAAAAGCTTAGGAGATGAGCGCGCAAGGGCTCTGGGATCTAGTGATAGGGAAAGAGCCCTTCGTGTTCAATTCGACAAGCTCCTGGCTCGTTATGAAGATGCGAGCAAGAAGATCAGCGGCCTTGAAGAGTCCATTGCCGGCTCTGCTAGCGACATGCTCCATACACGAATGCGGATGCAAGAGCTAGAAAAGGAAGGAGAGGAGCAAGCTGTAGGCATCGACAGGCTCAATGCCGCGCTTAGCAGGTATCGCGAGGAGATCAGAGGCCTAGAAACACTTGTCACAGAATTAGAATCAGATAAAGTCACAAACGGCGACATTTACAGTCAGCAGGTGTCGAAGCTTCAACTACAAGTCACTGAACAGGAAGACGCCCGTCGCGTCGCTGAGGGTACGGTTGCAGAGTGTGAAGCCCGCATCCGCGAATTGGAAGACACCGTTGAACAAAACCGTGCTCGATCGTGCCAGCTGAGCGTCAGAGTGGAGACCCTGGAGTTGGAGCGCCAGAAGGCAATGGAGCGCCTCGAACAGGAAGCGGCGGAGCAACTTGAACGATGTGAGAAGGAGATTGGATGCCTCAATGTTGTCGTTGCAGAGCTCAACACCTCCCTCGCGGGTGCCAAGTCAGAGATTGCTAGTTTACGGCGGAG